TTGGTTCCTAAAGTTTTTAAACATCATTTAGAACTCATCCCACACCCTGTTACAAGACTATAACACCATTAACACCATCCTCCATTTTCAAAAACAGAGCTTTGCACTTGGACTTCTCCAGTAAAAAACACCAAGAGCTCATAATTGTTTCACATACCTCCATTGTTGCCTAACCTGACCAAAAGTTGGAAACTCACATCTCCCTCGTGCGTTTTCAAGCCTTTTGGTTCCTAAAGTTTCTAAACGTCATTTAGAACTCATCCCACACCCTGTTACAAGACTATAACACCATTAACACCATCCTCCATTTTCAAAAATAGAGCTTTGCACTTGGACTTCTCCAGAACTCCTCAGGTACTTTCAGCTCAAGCTAAGCATCTCATTAGCTTCCTGGGAACTTGAGGAAGCTAACCCAATCATTCGAACTCACTAAAAGCTTCTCAAACTCCAAACCCGATACCCTCTTGCAAGGTAAGTTTTCTAACTTTGGAACTTTTCATACAAGCATCATCAATGATTTATTTGTGAATGAAAAATGTAGATATCATTGCCCTAAAGCTAACTATGTCCATAGTTTTCATTAATTTTGCTTGAGCTTAGAGAATTTTAAGATTGAAGTTTCTGAGATTTTTAGGGTTCAAATTAGGGCCATTAAAATTCATGCTTATCTTTGATCTATAATTTTATTGCTTTGCATTTCTGAAACCGTGAGGAAATTTGCTACAAGTTTCTTGTTTACAGTTTTCATTTTTGTTGAGATTTGAACAAGTTATAGAGGCTTTGGCTGGGCGTGAGGTTGAAGATGAAGTTGGCCTCAGGAACATGTTTGCCATATATATTTATGCTTTGATTTATATAAATGGATGTATAGCCACCCCAGTGGTAGAAGCATGCCACCCCATTTATTTTCTTTTTTTTCATTTTTATTTATTTTTGTTTTCTTAAATATTTTATCTAATATTAAAAAATCATAAAAAAATATAAAAATAGTAGATTTATATTTTGACTTAGTTTATTTATTTTTCTCACAAAAAAATATTTGATTTAATCATACTTTATTTATTTTACTAATTATTCTTGTAAATTTAATTAAAAATAGGGTTTTAGTTATTTTCTTTTACACCATTCTAAATATTTTATTTTAAAATATAAAAAGACCAAAAATATTTTATAATACTATTATTTATTTTTAAGACAAAAAATACCAAAAAATGTTCTTACAAATTTAATTTTCTTTTTAATCAATTAATAGAGTAGTGTTTTATTTATTTTTATTTTCCTAGTAAATATAAGTTTTACCTTTAATTAATTATTTTCCCCTTTAGTTAATCAGGTGAAATTCAAAATCCTTTTTCTCTAAAAAATCCAAACAAAAATATTTATTTTCTTCATATTTACATTCTTGTATATTTATTCATTCTTGTATATTTATTTATTCAATTCTTGTATAAATTCAATATGGTTGTAATAGATTAATTAGGTTTATTTTCTTGCAATCCCCATTTATAATTTGTACTCCCCCCTCCCACAAGTATTGTAACAGCGTAGTAATTTTAAAATTCCGCAATTTATCGCTTTATATACAAATGCTAGTAATTAGGATTTGTATGGAAAGACTAAAACCAATACTTAGAAAACCCTAATCAAAGACAAAATCAAGCATGAAAATAATACACTTGCACACAAGCAACCCTAGGGTAAAATCCACTTGGTTGCCTTATAAAATGGCCATATTACACATGTGAGGTATCTTAGCAAAAATAAGCAAAATACAAGATCATAGTCCCTCGATGACGTTATCCATGTTGCCTTTCAAATGATCTTAGTTCCTAAAAGAGAATGCTAAGATACCTTACAACATTGCTAATCATGGTTATACGATGACCCACGCCCGTCCCGTTTACATCTAAAGATATGGTTACTTTACCAAATCAATGGTAAGATAACAATGTCAAAGGAAAAGGAAATGAACATGAAAGACTTTTGAGTAGGTAGAATGCTCCTAATTACTTGCTCAATTTCAAAACTAACATCCTTGCTATTTTCAAAACAAACACCTACACTTTCAAAACATCTTTCAAACTTGAAAACATTTTCAAAAGATCAAACACTTTGTATACATTCTTACAAACGAGAATCATTACAAGATTTGTCTAAACAATGGCCTCTTTACAAAATACTTTCAAAAAACTACACAAAACACAATTTCAAACAAAAGCAAGTGATTTAGCAAGTAACTAAGAGCCCGTGGAAAATCATGGATGAAAAGGATGCTAATACCTTCCCTTTTCATAATCTATCCCCCGGACTCAAGAAATAATCTCAAAGGTCTTTCCTGTGCTTTTTCACCTTTCCTTTTGGATAAAAGAAAAGTCGTTGACGACTCTTGCTAACCGCAATATTTGCGATCAAACGCAAAACCTTCAAGTCGGTTCTCCCACCGTAACACACATATGCATATCAATTATACATTGTATTTGAAACTTCATAGGCCAAGACTACAGTGAAATATCTTAGGGCCTATCATCAACTAAGTTATCTGTACGAATCGAAAATTCAAACCTTAGCATTATTCACACTTTTAAAAATACCTCGATTGAGAACGGACACAACATTTAGAGGTATTATGAACCAAGAATTACACTAGGCGGCATATCTACGAATCATATATGTGGCCTAGCTTTTCAATTTTTCAATTTTCAAATTTTAGTTTCAAACATCGAACCCACATCATTTATCCCCTAGGTTGTGATAAATATGCAAGTCTGCATTACAACTCGCTATGTTAGTCTCAAAGCTTTAGCTAGTTTGTTATCAGGCCTGACTCTGTTAGATTAGTCCCCTAGCATAAATAGAGTTAATACTTGCATTATCTACCCCCTAGGATGTTGTAGATATGTAAAATCTATGATATAGCTTACTATGTTAGACTCGAAGCGTTAATAAATTATTTTAAACTCGCATTATCTATCCCATAGGTTGTGGTAGATGTGCAAAATCTGCGATATAACTTGTTGCATTAGTCTCGGAGAAGCAATAAGTTATCTATTTTTAAGCTTGTGTTATTTACCCCCTAGTTTGTGGTAAATACATAAAATCTGCAATTACTTTTTCCACGTGTTGACGAGTTACCCACGTCATCTTCTCTTGGTTACCTATGATATGTACGAGTTATCTGCATCGTCATATCTAGGTGATTTATGTTTATGCTTTAGGAATTGGTGAGTTAACTGTGTCATCCTTGTCTGTTTACTTTTTGGTTTATCGTATATTTTATCTTTTTCAAAGTTTTTGATCAAAATTTAAGGTCTTCCATTTTTTAGTAATCCTCGGTTTCTAACGCGCGAGAACTTTGTATACTCACACGCTTCAATAGAAGAGTAATTAAATATGGGCAGTTGTCATACCTCAAATTTGACCGCCTTTATTTCTACTATCAAAATCATTTTTAAACATGGGTTTTATAAAAATTTTGATATCTTTATACTTAACATTAATTTATTTTACTTATTTAAAAATAGACATAATAGTTATTTTAAATTATTTGTATTTCTTAAATAGCAAATACTTGCTCACCTTTCATATACTTTTAATTGGTTTTTTATTTCGAATAAGTAACATAGCACAATTCGTAAGGAATAAAACTTGCAAGTAAAAAGGTCACGGGTTTGAGTCTTATTGATTCTATATTTCTAATATTTTTTCTTTCAATTGTTATTAATTTTATTTTTAAAATCACAAAAATCATATTTTTTATTAATTAATTACTATTTTTCGTTTTTCTTTATTTATTATATTTTAAAAATATTTTTTTTATTAAAATTATTATTTTATTAAAAAAAAGTCAAAAATCTAAAAATAAATAAAATATTTTTCAGTTTAACTATTTTTCAAATCATATCTTGTACACGGTTACAAATAGGATCAGATTCTCAAACTTGCTGACCAAGATAAATTCAGAAACTTTTGACTTTTTATTTTGGATAATTTCCTTTTTTGTGTTTTTAACCTAATTTTTAATTCTTTAAATAAGACCTTGCTTAATTTTTCATTGACAAATTTTCAATTTCACGTACACTCTTTCACCAACAATTTTTCTATCATACACACTTCGATTTTAATATAAGGTCCCCTCCCCTCTATTTTCAAATTTTTTATTCTTTTAATTTCAATTAATTTGTGTTTCAATCGGACGATAGTTCTCCGATGGTGTCCTTTTCTTCAAAATTTTGTCATATATGTTTTCGTAAGAATTATTCGTTGATTTTTATTCTTCTTACTAATATATTATTCACGGTACATAACACCTTATTTCAGTCAACCAATCTCACCATATACACATAAACCCTTGTTCCTACGTTGTTGTCAACTTTACATCATATTTTTGAACACTTTTCTTCTAACAATTTCAAGACCATCTTCTAATACTTGTTTTTTTTTTCAATTTCTAAACTTTGACTCACACTTTGGTCAAACTCCCACAAAAAAATATTTTTTTCTAAGATGCCCATATTTCTCCATTGAATATTCCAGTGTAACATCATGACCACGTTGAACTCGCCCTCTTTTGTTTCAAACCAATTAATATCACAAATCCACATATCAATTTCACCTCAACTCCCACGCTACAGTTACCTTTTATTTTGTTGCGAAATCCACAACCTCATTACAAAAAACCAATATTTCAAAACTGTTTTTTTATCAAAAATCTTTCCAATCAAAATTCAAACTTGCTGTTGTTGTATACAAACCCGTACATATCCCTTTACCAACATACTCCATTCATCATTTTGACATAATCTTTCACTAACCTAAGTCATATTTCCAATATGAATCAAACCCGTCACTTTCAGACTTACCTCATCATCTTCAAATCACAATCTTAAAAACACACAAAACTATTAGTTTGAATCATCACCTTCATCTGTCAAAACTCATAACAGTACCATAACACAAACAATACAATTGTACAATCTTGTTCTAATTTTGCAGGAAAAGAGATGAAGAGTATGCATAAGCCAGTGACAACAACCGCCACAACGGCAGCTTTGCAGCGATTTCGCTACGACGTCAACAACATGTTGTTCATGCACCAGCGAAGATTCCTCAACCCGTCTCCGCCGAAATCTGGGATTTCGTTCACAGTGACATCCGACGAAGAACGCACAACCGCGAGACCCACGCAAATGCTACACCGTCATCACCGCGCATCATAACTCATCCAGATACGCCACCATCTGCGGTGCACCCCCGGACACCTCTCCACGGGGACGCCCTCAACCGCGCCGACCATCTACCACTGTCAACCATCGAACGCACCTTCGACTAGAACCCAACTTGCTCACCTCTGATCTATTGGTTAGCTTGAATTTTTAAAAGTCAAATACTCTTTCACAACAACAAGTGGTCGACAGATCCCTAACTCCAATCTTTTTTGTGTTTTATTTTAATTTTTCTAGTTATTATGTTTTCGTTGAGGATTTAGGTTAATGGGACATTGGACTGGACCTAATCTTTTTAATGATCATCACCTCTTCAATGATTTGTACACCTTCCATCTTTAATTTTCTTATGTTTAGGCTATTTTATTAGTTTAAGGTTATTTAGTCAAGAAATTTAAATTAGTAGATTATTAATACAAGAATATGTCATTATTTCTTTTAAGTGAAAATAAAAATAAAGACATGTCTTTATTAATTCGATTTGTACATAATCTCTAATTATATTAAAATCTAAAATTAAGACTTTGTACATGAATCAAATTTTGTTATTGAATTCTTCAAACATTTTATGAATAACGGAATAAGTGGATTTCACATCCACTGCATCCTCAAATAATCGAATAATTGACTAAACGTATCTTCGAACAATCTAATGAAGATCAACTCTTTTTCAATCGATCAAAACTTAATTAAAACAACTAACCAACCAATAAACATTTTTTACTAACATAATAAAACCTCAAGACATTTTTAAAAAAGGATTAAATATCATTGCTTTCAAATTAAATTTTAACCGCGTCTACGATCACTCAACTTGCAAATCCAAACAAAGTTCAAAGGAGCATTCGAAAGCAATTCTATATAATCCTATAAAAAATAACCAAACACATACGAACTACGAAATAGACTCTAATTTCTTCGCAAGGAGATATGTAGGCACACAGTTAAAACCAAGGCGAGTCCCATAACTAAAAAATTAAAAAATTTCTCAAACATATGGAAACAACGCAGTTAAGTAGAAATTCCCTATTTACCAATGGGAGACCCTTGAGAATAAGGGAGATAAAGTGTTCCTAACACATTCTCTTTATCTAACCAACTCACGAATTTAGAATCTCTGAACAATTCAGGGTTATCTTCTTTCCCGTCCTTAGGACAAAAAGTAGTGGTGGCGACGCTCGTATTTTTTTCCAGATACTACATGTGAACCTTGATAGAGTAGTCACATGAGATAAATCTTTCCATATACAAGAGTTCACGAATGGCATGGATGGTGAGCAATAGTCTATATGCAATTCTAATTGGATTTGTATGGAAAGATATTACGATATTGTGATTGATGTGTATAATAATTTAGTGATTAACAAGTATAGCCACATAGTGCTTGATTAGAGTAATAACATATTTTGGGATAACCCTTATTCATGCTTATCTCGAGTTTGACTCTTATGTAAAGTAGTGAGCGGGATAGATGAATCATTGAGTTGGAATGAAATGGGTTAGAATCCCATAGAGGAGTGAACCTCGCAGTGGGTTAAAGTCCCATAGAGGAGTAAACCTCAAAATGGGTTAGAGTCCCATAGAGGATTGAACCTAACAGTGGGTTAGAGTCTCATAGAGGATTGTATTGGACTTGAGACTTCACATACAAGAGGGGGTAAATTGCGTGGTTCGTGAATTTGAAAAACTTTGGGAAATAAAATCAGAGTTTAAAAACATTTTCAAAATCTTAGGAGCGGATATAAAAAGGATAATATAAATTGCGGAAATTAGAAGAGTTAAGGGAAAAGAAGAACACCAAGATATATAGAGGTTCGTTTAAAACAAAAGGACCTACTCCTCTTCCTAAGAACTGGTCCCGTATACAAGGAAATGATGGTGGACCTTCAACAAAATAATACAAGACTTTGAATATGGAAATTTGAGTCTTATATTCCAAATAGTGAGTCGAGGCAGTTAGTCCTTTCTCCACAAACAAGGACCTTGGACCGGTTAGTCTTCAAGTTCCTTAAACCTTACAAGCTTTTACACAGGATGAGCTCATGAACCTTAAACCTTGGTTTTGTATGAGCTAACCAATAACCTATGAGATTTTAATATCTGAATAATCTTGAACCTTTCAAGCTTTTAATATCGGGTTAAGCTTGAATGTAATTTTGGTTTTGATACCAAGTTGACCAAGAACCTATGATATTTTATAATGGGTTGATCTCGAACCTAAATCGGAATAGAATCACACAACCCTAAACCAAAGCTTTTACGGGTGTAACTTCTAACTCAAACAAAAATCCCTAAATAGATATTATTCAACCAAAGTATAAAATAAACCCTTGGTGAATATTACAATTTTATCCTTCCAAAATTACACTTATAACCTCACTCCCAAAAGGACATTTCACAAAAGCACTCAGGCTAAAATACTAGTGAGAGAAAGTGAAATAAAACTTTAGCGAGTGAGAGAGGTGCGTCAAAATATGATTCTAGATGAAATGAAATGAGGGAAGGGACTTTTAGTTATAGGATAGAGGTTGTCGCAAAAAGGAATTTTAAATAAGTGCATTTTATGGCAATCTAATCAAGTGGCCCTTATTTACAACCAATTAGAAGTTTGAGATATAATTTATTGTAAATTTAAAAAGGAAGGAGAAGATATCTAATCATTTCACATTATTAAGGTGTCATCCTAATCAATTAGGACTCAATTTTAAAATGCTCTAACTGATTGGACAAAAGTGTCAATCGATTAGATAAGTCAAAATTCTGCCTATAACTATTTTGACAGCTCCAAATTCATCAAGTACAACTTCAAGATGTTTTTGAAAATATTTTCTTGGGTAAAAATGGTTTGAAAATATATTTTAATGTGTGTGCTTTTAGCCATGCACATTTACGATAAAGTCCTTATGCTTTACAAATTGTTCACTCACAACTAAATTGGGAGGGCCCTAAGCACTTCAAGACTTAGCCATATACTTTCTCTTTTGTAGACACTTGCTTGAGTAGCTTGAGATGAGGCTTTAGTTATATTCCATTTGATTTCCATCATCATATAGTAAAGTTCATCCAACTTTAATGATTAGTTTTGCATCTTTATTTGCTTAAGCATTTGTGCTTGACTTGTCAGAAGACAATAGTTGTCTTCATCAAAAGGTGATATCCTTGTTAACAGCATATCACCTTCAAAACAAGGTTCCACATTCGCCCCCTTTTTATGATGACAACACATCTTTAAGAAGGGGGGAGGTAAAATAAAAAAATGCATATGTGTTTAGAGTACTTAGACTCCCCCTAAGTTAAATAGAGAGTATACATTGCCCCTCCTAAGAATATACTTCCCCCCTTTGTCGAAATCAAAAAGGCGGAGAAAGATGCATTGCAAAAAATAAATATGCATACATGGACAATTTAAACATATAGATAAGGAAAAGAAAGCACCCATATTATTAAGTAATTAAAAAATATAAAGGGGAATTTGCTTAATTAGAAGTACAAGGAATAAAATGCATAACAAGAATGAAAACATCTAAGAAACACTTATTTCATCTCAATATCATCATCCTCGCTAGAAGCCGCTAGAGAGATAATATTTTTATTGCCCTTTTATCAATGATATTTTTGCATTCATCTTCCTTTGCTCATTATGGATTTCATTGAGAGAGTTGGATGAAGAACTGTGTATTCGCTCCCTTGCTCTTCTTGGTTGATAAGGGACAAATTCTCCTTCTTGAATTGCATATCCCATCTTGCTTATAACAATTTGTCATATCTTTGTATATGTACATAGGTAGGTTCTTCTTCTCCAAATGGATAGCCATAATGGTTTAGGATTTTGGTGATCAGTTCAGCATAAGGTATAATGTTGTTTTTCCTTTTTCTATCTAGCATATGGTGAAGAATTGCATCTTTCCAATTTTTTGGGGCTTGATTTTCTAAGTACCAGACATCAGAGATGTATGATTTTTGGATGGTGCTACAATTACCCTTCATTGGGAACAAAATATGATTCATAGTGTAGTGAATTAATCTAATGTGTGGGAGAATGATTCCAACAATGAAGGGAATTGGAATAATTGAAGTGGGATCAATGATGGGAGAATGGGAAAGAGTGTCAAAGTTGAATTTGTTACCTTCAAGGTGGTCCATTTGATTATAATATTGATCTATGAAGAGCAAGTTGCAAACTTTAGTGAAGTCTTCCAATAGAGAGGGTGATGGGATGTTTCTTGATTTCAGAGGAGACAATTCAATCTTTGTATGAGAGATTGGTGTAAAACATTCTTACCAATTATGGGTACCTCTCCTTGGATTTCTTAGAAACAAAGTTCATTATCCCTATATCAGTGAATGCTTCAATGAAGGAGCAATTCTTGAAGATATCTTCATATAGATAGTGGAAGGAAAAGACTTCTTTATTAGATTAGTAGAGATTGAAGTTGATTTCTTGAGTTTGAGAGGAGAATTCCTTAGAGAAATATGAAGATGAAGCATGGAAGAGCATGTTTTTTGGGGCCATTTTGAGGTTATGATGATGAGTGAGAGAACTATATGTTTCTAATACAATGAACAAGTGAGGAAATGATAAGATGAGAAGAATGATAAGTTACATCTATTTATAGCTTATGTCTAATTGATTATACATATGTTCCAATAGATTAGAAACGGTAAAAAAATACTTATTTGTTGCAAGTATTTTCTACCATACTTACTTACCTAACTAGCCCTTGTGGTGAGCTCTAACATTCAAATTTTTAGTGTTCAGTTGATCTAATCAATAGGATATTAGTGCTAATAAACTATTTTCGCCCAATTCATCATATCTTGTTTTGGGCTTTGTGCTTTGTACCCCTTCTTGGCTTTATTTGCACCTCTTGCTATAAAACATTAGAACACTCCTCTTTTTGGATTAGAAAATAATTTTTCATGACGAGAAAAAAATTTACGTCATTATTTAAAGAGGGTAATCAGATTTAGTTAATTATTTTAACTTTAAAATAATGTGTACCTCTTTTATCAAGAAGTCTTGATAAATATTTCCCAAATGAGAAAACACCAAATGGTGTATCCTCCTCTACACGCCATTGGATGCGAGAGTTGGTAAAAGCCACAA